TTATAAGCATTTTTCAATTCAAAAGATCTTCCTACCTAGTAGGGGTTAACACTTTAGGAAAATAATTATGATTAAATTGTGGCAATTTGCTTTGTGTTTTAACCCTTCATTTTTGCTAGCTTAAGCCAGCTTGAGCTGTTATGCTCTGATAAAAGGCTGTTGTGTTAATGAGGTAATAATTTCATCTTATTGGGCATGATACTAATAAATAATATTAGTATTTGTTACTAACCTACTTGTCAGCTGTGATACCAACCACACATAGCCTTTTCTTTTGTACCATGATTCATGGCTGTATAAGCTCACCTCAAGTGGCAATTGTGAAACATTTTATTTGATTGGAGCATAAAATCACTTTTAGGTCATGAATCTACACCAATGCAGATCTGTTATTTTCTGGTTACTATGGTTACAAAAACTACCCACAATTCCTGGTCTTGTTATAGATCCTTCCCTACCCATAATTTAATGGTGAATGCTTTTGAACTTTGGTCTTTAATGATCTGACAGGTGTATTCTGTAAATACCAATATTTTAATATATGTATTAATAAAATGATTAACAATATGTTCAGGAACAATCTGGTAATCACTATTAGGATTAAATTCTAAGTTTTGGTACACTTGTATATTATGTGAATCAATTTATAAAATTTGTGATGATCAATTGTGAGTGAACGATGAATGTCAATTCTCTCGTATTATCCAAACCTGTTATACAATGTTAGGATTTCCTCTGACTGTATAGGGTACTTAGCTGACCGGATTTCTTTGATGTTTACGTTATGGTTTTATCTTATATTGTTCTCAAAACCTATGTACAAATATATGGTCACCACTACTTTTCACACGAACACAGGTAAAACAGCCATAAAAATGGTGATTTTCAAATCATTTACCCTTGGTTTCTATGGTAGAAAGTTCTCAAAATATCTCAACATATTTTAGGGTATACATATAATGAAAAAAATATGTTGTTAGTACATTCTGATGATTATTGTTCACTTTATATGAAATAATGTTTTAACATAGCTTTCTCCAAAAAAACCCCCACAAACATAAAAAGTTGATGATATGTTTCAAAATCAATAATCATCCGATGCTTTTGAAACAAGAAATTATTTCATTGGTTGAATACTCACAATCTTCCTTATATCTCCTGAAACTAAACAGTTTAATATATTGGGATATAAGACAGTTTTAAAGATATCCTAAATTATATCAGTATTTCAATTGCCTGAATGCATTGTTTTGATTAAAACATGTTTTTAATTATGCAAGCCATGGTTAAATAGATGGTTAATAAGGCACAGACAGGCTAAATGGTTAAATAGATGGTTATATACATCAAATATTAATAAGGCACAGACAGGCTAAATGGTTAAATAGATGGTTATAGACATCAAATATTAATAAGGCACAGACAGGCTAAATGGTTAAATAGATGGTTATAGACATCAAATATTAATAAGGCACAGACAGACTAAATGGTTAAATAGATGGTTATAGACATCAAATATTAATAAGGCACAGACAGACTAAATGGTTAAATAGATGGTTATAGACATCAAATATTAATAAGGCACAGACAGACTAAATGGTTAAATAGATGGTTATAGACATCAAATATTAATAAGGCACAGACAGGCTAAATCCTGTTGTTGACTGAAATATGAAAAAATTATTATTTTGCATTACAGACATTATAAACAAAAAATATGATTCCTATTTTTGAATAAAAAATGATAAATGAGAAAATAAATTCATCTGAACTATACAAACTTCACCAAAACAATGCGTGTTGACTGCATGACAACAGTACAGTGGAAACTATTGATCAGTGCAGTGGTTGATTGAACTCTGTACATTCTATCCTCATAATACCTTGTACATATTCCCCAACCTAATTCCTGATTTATTTGTAAGCCTGGAGTAAGACACTGACACCTATTATTGAACTAATCGAGTGCTATAATTCTGAAAGAATCTTTTCCAACTCTATATAATAATTGTATAAGAATTTGATTGATTGATTCCTATTGCAAATGTATATTATTAATTCAAATGAATTTTCACACAGATTATACATGTATATCCTACCTGACTGAAAGAAATAAAACAACTGATGTGTTTTCTGAATAATTTTGTACTCCAACTCTATATATGTAATTATCAATTAAATACATTGATTCCTGTTATTGCATGAAATAATTTAAATAATTTTCTTCTGAACGTCAAAACTTTTTACTAGAAGTTTGATGATTTAATATATATAATACACATACACATGTATTGTATCTTGTAAATGTCCTTGCTGTCAGAGGTCAACCTTTGAATTGAATCTAAAAGTCTTTATTAAGTTTGAAGTTGTCCTTTTAGTCGTTGTTGCCAGGAGTTCCATTCATACAATCTAACCCTTGTTGAGATTGTCAAAGAGAACAGGAATGCCTTTGTACTATAAAAGACTAAATGTAATGTTCAAGTCAATTTTGTTGGCAGTACGTGAATACCTGATGTTATTTTTCATTCACTCGGGTAACACCCCCCCTCCCCTCATATATATGATTCACATGTACCGAGTAGTTCATATAGGGATAAGCATTTAATGTAAAAAATAGACGAAAAGCTATGTATCAGTATTTAATGTGAAGCAGTTTCCATTAAGGTCTGAAATGTACGCCAGACTTTTTTAGCCACTATATGTCTCTTTTTTTAGTTCTGTTGTCGACTTCTTCTTGGAAACTACAAGTCTGAATGCTTTGATACTTGGTGTATATGTAACTTGGGTAGACCTCTCTTAGATTTGTTCATTTCGTGATGATATCTTCAATTCTCTAATTTTGGTGAATATTTTTGTAATTTTTGGTAAAAAGTGATATTTTCTACTTCTTGTTAAAAACCGCAAGTCCAATTGCTTTGATATTACATATATAGGTACTACATGTGGACTCTCCCAGATTTGTTCATTTCATGATCATATCTTCAATTCTCTAATTTTGGTGAATATTTTTGTAATTTTCAGTAATAAGTGATATTTTCAACTTCTTGTTAAAAACCACTAGTCTGAGTGCTTTGATACTATACGTATAGATACCTCAGGTAAACCTCTCTCAGATTTGTTCATTTCATGATGATATTTTCAATTATATAATTTTATGATTATTTTTGGAATTTTTGGTAAAAAGTATCATTTTCGAATTCTTGTTGAAAACAGCATTTTCTTTGATACTATACCTATTGTTCATTTTCTAATTATATCTTCAGTTCTTTAATTGAAATGTGTATAGCTACCAGCGGAGCTATCTCAGCTGTTAGGCTGCTTATTTAGAATTTATAGGATGACTTAACTCATTGGTGTGTCTTTGTATAATAAATCATTATTGTACATCTGTCACCGTAACACCATAAGTTACAGCGTGCCATAATTATGCAGTATTTTACGGGGTATTTTCATCCTACCATATTAGGAAATGTGAATTCAAATTATGGAATGATTACGCACGTAAACAAACATGGCTTCCACCAGAGTTTGACCGGACTCCACACAAAGAAGGAAAAGATGTATAATAATATAAGTTATTACAAGAATGACTCAAATTATGCACTCAGACTGTATGCAGTGCATCTACCTCTGCTGCACGCAGGTCGATACTCCAGCTGTACTGTCTTCGTGAATACTTTAAGGTATTCTCGTAATAATCTTATATTACATGTGCATCTAGTATGTGTTAGTTGTGTTTAGTATAACGCAAGGAGAATTAAAAACCACAATTATGCATGACATTTATAGTACTGAAGACAGTATTAATTTACTGTAAAACATGTCTTTTTTGCGAGCATGTCTTTTTAGCAAATTTAGCGAGAGAAATGATTTGCTAATTCGAGATGTCGCTAATGACTTTATTATAAATTCAAAATGGCCAAGGCATGGGGATTTGTATACAGTAATCCAGGACATAAAAATCTGGGGCGCTTCCTAACACTTCACAGTTTTTCTTTGTTTTTATGGAGGTGATAACTGCGCATTCGTTTTGGCACGCAACAGACAAGCATTGTGAAACAGGAAATCAACAATGACAAGAGAGATTCGCTAAATCAATATTTCACTATTACGTCATTTTACCACAATTCGCTAAAATTGCATGTCGCTTTTTCAACATGTTTTACAGTATTTGATAACTGTCACAATATACATGTACATCTGCTTTTCAATGAGTACATGTATAACTTACAATTATCTATCAGATTTAATTATTGACAAGTTAATCATTCAAAATTCAAAGGGCTTAGGTTTTGTCGACAATGAACAGAATATAATGCATCTTGATGCGTTTACATAAAAGTTTGGTTAAGCTCTAACTTTACTGTATATTTAAAACAACTATGCTATTCTAATCAAATGTAAATACATAGCGTATTAACTAATTTAGAATAATCTGTTGATTGTTAGAAAATTTCATTTATTATATGAAATTTTCACTAATTTATACATGTAATTACGCACATTAATTTGAAAAGTAACAAAATATTTTTCAACTTGCTGGTGAAAAAAAAATAGTTTGTGTTTGATAAATAGGGAATTACATGTATATGCTAGAACAGGTGTTTCTATGGTCATATTGTATTAATTAGATTATTAGATCAATAATTAACTGTTTAGATTTGTAATTATCAAAGTTTTAAATCAATATCAGACAGGCTGGGACTTGGTATAGTCATAGTCAAAATTAACGATATCAGAAATCTGGAATGTGATCCAAGTCTTCGTCTGTCTAATATCGATCTCAAAATTAGATAATTATCAAGTTTTAACTCAGTATTAGGCAGCATGAAACTTCATTCAGTTTGTTTTATATTTTGACAATTATCAGATAAAAAAATATGCAGTATCCAACATTTTTGTCAACATTTTGAAGGAAATTAATGGAGTTTACTTGTATATTGTTTCCAGAGATCAAACTTTCAAATGATCGGGTTAAACATTCATTTTTTTTTCTTTTCCAGGTCTTCCACCATGATTCGTAATGTTCCATTGAGTCGACGACACAACGATTCATTCTGTGTTACTGGTCCAACATTGCTTAAAACTAAAACTGTACCATTCCATACAAGGCCATTTCTTTGGGACCCAGTACAGAGAGCCCAAACATCACTCTTACTTGAGTAAGTATCACCTTATTGGTACGTCAAGTTTTGAATCATATATGATACATGTATAGTGTACTGTATGTAATTATCAGTTGATGCATTGCATTTGATGTGGGTTCCTGGTGAAAAAAAAAGATATAGATCTGCAATGAGTGACCATCTAATATTGTATTAAATAAATTAGTATATCGTGTTTAACAAATACAATAATACACAAATTTAGATATACTATTTATCACATATATGCATTTCAAGCTGTTTTGCCAGCAAACTAACACTAGAATCGTTATTTTCTAATTTGTATGTTCATCATGGAGCATACAAGGTCGTTCCTTGAATTTGTCTAGCAACTAGTTCATAAGCTGTGATTAAACAATATATTAATTAATTTTTGGAACAATTTATGGAGAAATATGGGCAAAATTTTTACCTAAATTGAGGTCTAGTTTTATCAGTGGTCTTCGCATATCTTTAACATTAAATCAGTAAACAGTAGTGGCAGTTCAGTGAAGAAAACAAACTTCATGTGTTAAACACGATAAGTTGGGAGAGGTAAAAATGACAAAATCCTCAAATACGATTTAAAATAAAATTTACATATGGATGAATGCATGAATCTATTATTGGTATATAGCAAAACATTCAGATTTGTAATATTTCAAACAGTTTTTACAAAAATTATTAATTTGTCATTAAATGAGGTATGTTTTGGTATTTTAGGCAGTGACTAGTTGGTGAAGCCACAATTTCAATTTGTTTGCAAGGACCAATCAGGTTTGCCATTCAAGGGTGTAATATTGAAAAATACTATATGACTTAATGTCACTGCTAATTGCATAGTACATGTGATAACTATGATAATTAAGTTATTATGAGAATACACCAAAGTATGCAAAGTATAGGTCCTGCATTGACTTAGGTCGTTACATGTCGGTCAATATATTCACATTATTATAATATTTATACAAAAACAATATAATTTACCTATACATAAAATAACGCATGTTCAAAAGTGTTACTGACACCTTTGAATGTCCTTCCTTCCTTGGAAATTGTGCGTCACATTTACATCACATTTGAACAATTAATTTCCTATGTTTACTTCAGGCACACTTGATTGAAATAGAATCATGTCACCGAATGCCAAAATTTGTAATTTTCGGCTTTCATTAAATCATTACTACAAGCAAGGAAAATATGAGTAAGGTTATCATGAGAATATCGCAAAAGTATGCATTCAGGCAGTAAGGTATCACAATCTCTGTACTGCTTCCATGCATACTTGCTGCATGTTTTCTCGTAATCACCTCATAATATGCATCCCTCATTTGTATCTAGGCCAGACTTTTTTTATTCCTTGTTTCTCAAGTTTTCATAAGGCAACTTTTTTGAGGAGGGCGAAAAATAAATAAAATTAATTCTTTTTTTCCATTAGATTTGTGTGATTCTCAAAGAATTGTAAGTGAGATCATTGATCAGATAGAAGAAATAAAATAAAATTTTATTCCATGTATAACTTTGTTTCTCATCTGCGTGAGACTTTGGTACTTTGATCATGATACTCCCATGAAAATGCAGCTTGTTATGCGGCGGGCGTTAAAAATATGAAGATAAAAATAACATTTTTTTGCACTTACAAGTCGGCGGGCGCGAGAAATTACGCTGAAATAAAATTTTATTTTTATTTCATTTTTGGCTCCTGTTCATTCCGCGGGTTCGCGAAACAAGGAATTATAAAAGTCTGGCCTTACAAAAACAAGTCTTGTCTTTTGAACATTGTGAGTCTCTTAACACAGTAATCCAAGTGATTTATGTAGCTACTCTGTTGAAATTTCTTGAAAATAGTATGAATTATAAAAGTGATAAATATCTATTGTTGGTGTTGCTTTGTGTGAATGATGTCAATTTAGAAACAACTCAGGAATCTGTAAACAATCACTTCATCTGTAACCCCATATGAGATATCCTCATCGTCAACAGTCATTGACAACAATAATGAAATCCCAAAAGCAATGTCCTGTATTACATTTACCCTGATGGCTAGTTGGTAGTCCACATATTTAGAAACAGTGAAATTATAACATGTTTTGTTTCAATAGACCAAGTCAGAGGAATAAGTTTAAAGAAGAAGAGAATCTTTTAGAGGAAGTAAGAGGATTGAAAAGAAAACGTGAAGTGATACCACACAGAATAGAATATGGTGATCTAACTGTGGGGGGAATTAATACCAGATTAAATGAAAGGTACGTTAAAAATGCATTCATCTTATTGTATCCTAACACATCCTGCCTACAAATAAAGTTGAATATAAAGGTAAAGAGAAGTTTTTAACCTACCAGAGGGTTGACATTACATCCATGTGTGTTCAATAAATTAATAATCTTACCCACACACATATGCTAAGTATAGGATACACACAAGAATGAAACTATACTGTTAATGACCCTCAAACAAAATTACATGTTTTAACCAGAAATGAGTACTTACATGACTGATATAGTGTGTCTTTTTGTCTTGTTTGTCAGCACCTTTTGTATTGCATCATACATGTATGAGGAGTTTTAACTGTGATTTAAACTCTAGATACAGTATACAACCCTAAAATACCCTAAAATGTGTGCCGTATGTTTGTTCCATATCAATATACTGTCATCCTTATTTCTTGTTGCTGTACAAGGCTTCAATACTTGAATCCATTTGGTACTCTTCAGAATACTATAACCTCATCTTATTTCAATAAAGACAAAGTTGTGTGAATTTGTTTAGTTCACGAACATATCTCGATTTTGTAACTAGTTTTCTTAATTATGTTATCTGTGACCCTTAGACCATCAAATTAAATTATTTTTTTTACCTTTTTTAAAAATAATCTGCTTTTTAAAAAATTGTTTTAAAAAATCCAAAATTTAATTAATTAATTAAATTACATATAATTATTGTAAATGTTGTACAGCAATTGGGGCATTAGGCAGGAAGCCATAATGAATTTTTCTAAATTTAGTTTTCTTTAATTTTCATAAATAGGAAATATTTCTGGAAATAACATGTCAAAAGTTTATAATAGTAATCAAAAAAAATCCTTCATTCTTGTAATCAGTCTAAAGTATTTTTAAAAATGTATTCATTAAAGTTTAAGACTTGTTCATTTCGCAAGAGATATGTATATACTGCAAAAGACAAAAATGAACTTGAATTTGAAGTCACGATGACTTTTGCAAAACTATTTTTTCACGCATTTTTTTAAGTCATCATCCATAGCAAAAATTACAGTACATCTACAGCTAAAAAACAACTTTTTTTTTCACACAGAATGGATTATGGAGAAGAACTTCAAAAAATCAAAGCATTGCCCCAAATACCACCACAGTGCCAGGAACTTTATACAGGGAGAGGAATTAAATTACCACCGTGAGTATGACCTGCTCACCCCTAATCCTGTAGAATGGACTATCCCTTCTACAACCAAACAATGGGACTGTTCCATGATACAAGGAATTCTGGGGTGATAAGGTTACACTTTGGTATGATTTACTCTCTTGTTTTCCGTGGAGTAGATTGCAGTGGAGTTTCAAGTTTTCTGATTGCTGTTCTCTTCTATGTGCTTTTTATTTTCAAAAGTTTTTGTCTAAAAAATATCTAATTTTTTCTTGCATGCTTGAAATGCACTTCTGCCACTTTTTCAATATATTCGGATCATGTTAATCAGTAATTTCATATTTTTTTAATATCACATTTTTGTCAAAATATTGGGAAACATGCTTGCCTGTCCAGCATGCCCATTGTTCCAGCAAAATTAAATTGTAAAATCTTTTGACCAAGCAGCAAGACCTTGCAAGTCGCTTTGAAAGAAACATTTATTGGGAAATGAGCACAGCATTGTACAAGCAAACAACACCGCTAACGCTGCTGCTGAATACTCGCAGAGGGCGCTCTAACTTGAAACTCTGCTGTTTGACATCTACAGAAAACAATGGGACTAAACCATTGATTCATGGGGGTGTGAAGGTTTGTCTGATTGTCATGCCTGCTAACCCAACACGTTAAATGTTTTCCTGGTAACTGTAAAATAAAAATTTGCCTTTTACCTTATAGTTGTTCACTTTCATTAGTTGTACTGTAATTATAATTCCCATTATGTGTTACTTTTATTTGTAATAAACTACTACATGTATTATGTAAGTATAACATGACTTGCAAAAGGCAACCATCTTCAATATTAATGTGTGCAGCAAATACCGGTAATTGTTTTCTGAAATTAATATTTCTAAAAAACTGGCGGAAGATGCAATTTGTTGTAGCCATGGCAATGCTGATATGATGATTGTTGTATCAGTTGCTTATTATTTTTCAGTATGTTTGTTGCATCATATCATTGAATTTGTGTGCCCTTGATAATACACCCTTGGATTTCCTTCACCTTTCCTTTTTAGAAATACATAAAAGCACTATGTAATGCTGTATAATTGTGTGAAAACGATAATCCTACATAACCTGTTTTACAAACACACCTACATACTTAAAATGTACTTTGCATGATAGAAAACAATTGATAGTGAAGGTAGATCCTATTTATAAATAAAGACATCCAGACAGTTAATGATAGCCAATTAAGTGCTGCGGTCATTGTAAATTGTGTTTTTGAATTTGTGAAGCCATGTTGAAGACATTATGATATAATGACTCACTCGAACTAATGTGTTGCAGCAACTGTGACACTACCAAAGACATTGCGATGAAATGACTGTGATCCTTTCAAACGTGTCATGTTGCATTGACTGCAGCCTGTTAATTGTGTTTATGGAAACTTCTATATAATAATTGGGATGGTTGGTAATTTCTAAGATTATATTTTGTCATATACATTAGCAGTTCTGGTGAGGAGTCAAGAAATTTGAATAAAAAATATGCTTAGTTTCATGGAGCCCAAAATGATTTTATTGAACTGAAAATCTTGAATATTAATAAGAAGTTTGGAGACCAAATTTTATTTCTTGAGATTCAAAAATTTAATAAATGGAATAGTTTAGCAACTTTTACTGTATTATTTTATGATATAGATAAGATAGTGATATAGATTGTTTATTCTTGTTTATTTACCATGCCATTTATTGTTACAGAAGCCACTCATCCAATCGGCAACCACTCACAAAAATTGTTTCTGCACCAATGCCTGCTTTGCGCAAGACGGCATCATTTGCCGTGCAAACTGAGGACCCAATGCTCCAAGAACGAGAAGACAAACAGGAACATTTTAAAGTACAGCCTCCCGCAAAGATCAAGAGACAGTCTTCAATTGTCAGGAAGTCGGTGAAACGGAAAGACAGCATAAGTTTGAAACCTGAAAAAGAACCCAAAACTCAGATGGAGAATGAACACATGGAAGATGATGAAATTCCTAAAGAACCAAGGTGTTTATTTCTGTGAATATCATTAACCACATAACAGCCACCATAATTAGCATGACTACCACATAACTTCTATGAAAGCCAAATAAATACTACAAAACTTGATTGCCACAAAACAGCCACAAAACTACATATTACCGATAGCCACTATAGTTTCATGACTACCACATAGCAGCTACCGTAGTTGTCATGACTACCACATAGCAGCTACCATAGTTGGCATGACTACCACATAGCAGCTACCATAGTTGGCATGACTACCACATAACTTCTATGACAGCCACATGAATAGCACATAACAGCCACATGACTACCACATAGCAGCTACCATAGTTGGCATGACTACCACATAACTTCTATGACAGCCACATGAATAGCACATAACAGCCACATGACTACCATATAGCAGCCACATGACAACCACATATAGACACTGAACCACCAAATAAAAAACACATGACAGTACAGGTATACAGTCAACTGGTTGTGTTTGTCAAAATAAGAATTGGTTGATTGCTGTCTTTGATCAAAGAACATTGATTCAAGATGAGTTGAATGTAGATTTTGATTTACAAACTCTCTAAATTGATATTTCATCTGCATTTTTCTCTAAATTGACTGTGCAGTTGTTATTTCATTTGGCACTACAAAAAAATGTTTTTTTTTTTGTTTTTTTTGTTTTTCTTACATCAATTTGAGTTCAATTCAGCTTTTCATTTATTATTGTACATTGGTCTTTTGGACTTATTTGCACAAAATAAAGATTTTCTTTCTCTAATAATTTTTTTGTTTTGTTTGCATAGTGTTGAGGTAACAATTAACGAACATGATACTATGGAAACTGAAGACATACCACCATCACCACCTCCGCCAGAAGACAGGTAACTTTCCATTATAATACATTTCAGTACTTTATAACCTTGGACAACAGCTTGGCTTCTGTTATTTATTGAAAACTATTTGTTTGTAACATTTCTTGATATTACCATGTGAG